GGATTCTCTTGCCGCCACGTGTCGGCCTGTCATAGGACGTGCCCAGGTGGTACTTCACGTCTCCAGTGCCTGTCATGTTGGGGGAAAGGGAGAGAAGGTGGTTGCAGTAATTACTGCACTTGACCGCTCCCATCAGCACTCAACGCCACCCAACCACATTCACCTGCATGCAACCGCACTCAACCGCACTCACCAGTGTAGAACGAGTCCTCCCCAGTGGCCGGCTTGATCCCGCTGCTGAACTCGCTGAAGATCTGCCTCAGCAGCTTCCTCACCACGTTCCCCAGCACGTTCAGCCTCGAGACACCTCAACAACGCCCAACCGCAATCAACCGCAATCGAACCCACTCAACCCCACCCAACCGCATTCAACCGCACTAAACGAGACTCACCAGTGTAAAACGAGTCCTCCCCGTCCTCTCCTGTGGCCGGCTTGATCCCGCTGCTGAACTCGCTGAAGATCTGCCTCAGCGGCTTCCTCACCACGTTCCCCAGCACGTTCAGCCGCCCGCGGTGAGCCATGCCGATCACCACGCTCTCCACGCCAAGATCTGCCGCCCGGTCGATCATCTCCTTCATCCCCGGGATGAGGGTTTCCGCGCCCTCCAGGCCGAAGCGTTTGGCTGCGCCCCACTTGTTGGCAATGAAGTTCTCAAACTCGGAGCTCCAGATCAGCCTGTCCAGAATCACCTGTGTGGTAAGAGTATCATGCAGGGTTCACACACACACGCATGCACGCACAAACAGTTGGGTGGGGTCAAATACCCAAACAAGGTAGGTGCAATGAACAATAAGACAACCGGCTACCAGCCGAGACAGAATCTCACTGACACCCTCTGTCCCTCTCTCTCTCTGCCCCTCTGCCTCTCAGCCTCTCAACCCCTTCTCAGAAGGAAATTTCTTACTGAACCCCCAACCGCCCACCACCCACCTCCCCCCGCCTCCACCCCTCCTCACCTGCCGCCTCTGCTTGCCGTATTTCCTCTTGGTGGGCGACTTGATCTTATCCCGGAGCCAGTTGCACTGCTCCCAGTCCGCAATGTGCATGTACTCGTACCCCACCATGCCGCAGAACGTCTGCTCCAGCCGCGCCAGGATCCCCCTCACCACCTCCCCCTCTCCCTGTCTCCTCTCCTTGTCTCTCCATCTCTCAACCTCCCCTCACAGGGCGACCTGCTACCAAATCCCCCACCTTCCCCCCACCTCCAACCCTCCCACCCTCCGCTCCTGCCCCCCAAATAAACCTCACCTGCCGCCTCTGCTTGCCGTATTTGCGCTTGGTGGGCGTCTCAATCTTATCCCGCAGCCAGTTGCACTGCTCGCGGTCCGCAATGTGCATGTACTCGTACCCCACCGTGCCGCAATACGTCTGCTCCAGCCGTGCGAGAATCTCCCTGAGGGTCTGCACGGGGCGGTTCTCAGAGAGAAAGCCGGACATGCGCCAGATGCCCAGGAAGAACTGCCGGTCCAAATCGGCCTCTGAGAAACCATATAGTGCTGGGTCGAGCTCGACTGCAAAAGGCAAGGGCAGGTGGTGGGAGGGAAGGAGAGACCGGGGAGGGGAGAAGGAGAGGAGGAGAGGAGGGACGCAGTCACGCAGGTGAGAAAGGGGAGAGCGAGGGTTGAGGTGATTAGAGAGCCAAGGAGGCAGGCAGGACCCATCCTCCTCCACAAGGTCTGCACGGGGCGGTTCTCAGAGAGAAAGCCGGACATGCGCCAGATGCCCAGGAAGAACTGCCGGTCCAAATCGGCCTCTGAGAAGCCGTAGAGTGCTGGGTCCAGCTCGACTGGTGGGGGAGAAGGAGAAGCAGGAACGGGGGGTGGGTGGAGGGAGAGGGGAAGAAAAGAGGATGCACGCACGCAGGTGGGGTGTGAGTGAGTGGTGAGTAAGGAGCGGAGGCGGGGGAATTCCTCTGGATAGGCAGTCCGAATCAGACTTTGAGAAGCAGTACAGCTCTGGTTCGAGATCAACTGGCGGAGGAGAGGGCAAGGGCGGGGAAGAAGTGGGAAGGGCACGGGAGAACATGGGAGTGGAGGAGAAGAGAGGAGGGAGGTGAGAAGGGTGAGCACAGAGCAAGAGGAGACAAGATTCCCCTCACTGTCTGCACGGCGAAGTTCTCTGAAACGGAGAACGAGGCATGCACCAGATAGGGCGAGCAGCAACAACAGCTTCTGCAGCAGAAGGAGAGGAGGCAGCAGCAGCAGTAGCCGCCCTTTTAGTTCCACTCCCCCACCCTAACAGTCTCACCCCCTCCTATCTTTCCCCTCGTCCCTCCCATGCTAACCCCTGCTCCCTTTCATCCCTCCCTCCCCCCTGCCACTCACTGGGGGGCTTGCGGGCATCGAGGCCGAGGGGGTCAAGATTGGCCTTCATGTGGCCGTTGACCTGGTAGGCGCGCACCAGCAGCAGCAGGCGCATGCTCTCCTGAATCGTCTGCCCCGAGATGCCCCCCTCCACTCGCAACACGGGTTCAGACGACGTCTTGCCTGCAGAGTAGAGAAATGGGGTTGGGTTGAAAAGGGTGCAGATGGGATAGGAGACATTTGGGGCGCCGTGAAGGCTCCTTGCCTTCCATACGCATGCTCTCCTGAATCGTCTGCCCCGAGATGCCCCCCTCCACGCGCAGCACTGGCTCCGACGACGTCTTGCCTGCAGAAATCGAGATTGCGAACAGTACGCACACGTGCGCGCGCACGCAAACACAAAATGTGGAGTGGGATGGCAAACTGCTGAGTCAGCAGCATTCGCCAACCTTGATGAAGGAGGCAGGAGAGAGGATGTGTGCAGGGAGGAGGAATGTCTGGAAGGAGGGGTACCTACCTGTGAGATTACCAAGAAAAAAAGGGGAGTAATTTGTGTAATCACTCAGGAGAACAAAGGGCACATCTAAGTTCACGCTGAAGCAAGAGCGGCATCTGTGAGATTACCCAAAAGCAGAAGAACTACCTACCTGTGAAGTTACGAAAGAAGGTGTCCCATGACTTGTCCACGCTGTTGGGATCCTGCTCCCACGCCCGCTGCAGCTCCTCCAGATACACGCTGTAAGGAGTGGAGGAATAGAGAAGAGAGAGCAGAGAGCAGAGCAGACAAGGAGCACTCGAGAGTCAACGAACCTTTTTGACGCCTCACAAGCCACAACCCCTCTGATCCAGGACCTGTGGCTCACTCACACCATCTCCACTTCAATCCTCCCACTTCTCCCACTCCTCACAATCTCCCCACTGCTAGCACTCACCTGCTAGTGCCGTCCAGAAAGTTATCCATCAGGGTTGAAAGAGGCACTGCCTTGGGAGGGGGCGGCGACGTCAGCTGAGGCGAAACCGACGACTTCGAGGCTGCTGCACCGGCTGCCGAACCTCCAGCTCCGGCTGCCGAAGCTGCAGATGGCGCCGACGAACCAAACGGCTCGGAAGGGGGGGTGGCGGAAAGCTTGGCGGAAGGGAACGAGTCGGAGTGGAGCGTGCGGGAGAAGGCGGAGGCGGAGGGCGCGTGCAAGGGGGAGCGGCGGCTCGCGGAGGCGGGGGTGGCGGAAGAGGCGGAAGTGGCGGGGAGGAGCGCGCGGGCGAGGAGGATGGGGGTTCCGCGGCCATGCGCGGTGATGACGGTGTCGGCGGGTGCTGCGGCTATGCGGGTTGTCAAGTAGCTGCGGGAGCGGTAAGACGAACACGGTGGGGAAGCATTAAAGTGTGCAGTAGAATTTTGAAAGAAACGGTTTTGGAGGAGCGAGTGATGCATCTGAGACCAGGAATGCTTGTGATACGCGGAATGGCAGGGATGGCAGACGATGATAAACGCGTAGCAGAGAAAATAAGTCTTGAGAAATAAAAACAAGTACAGACCTTTTTTTAAGCATTTTTCATGGATCGGTGCAATAGCACGAACACTCGACCTTTCAGACTACAAAACAACCAGCGATTAAATCTAGACGAGTTAAACGAGGAAAATATTCGAAAGATTCGCCTACGGTCACGAGCTCCGTCTCCTCTGGACCATAGAAACCGGTTGCGCTTACCGACGAAGGTAGGTTGCGGATCTAGACGAGGCGGGCGAGCCGGACGAGGGTCCACCGGCTCTTCGCGCAAGCAGCAGCAGACGATGCCACGTCATGATGTCGCCGTGGTTCAGTACAAAACGAATTTATCGAGAATCGTGAAGACCACGGAGAAATGTCAGGTAACAACGGCAGTGCAACGGCAGGATGACGGCGGGACGTCGAGATTATCAACTCCGCATCACCCTAGGATCCAGGGAGCATGCTCTCTTACCGAGCACACAAAAGCTTCAGCCACCTGACTTAAGGTGAAGCAGCTGCTAAAGCAGTAATGAGTTGAGCTGCAGGCCCTAGGGATTATCCAAACCGCTCTTGTGTGGAGAATGGTTTGTGAGGGAAGAAATTTTGGGCTACTGTGAGAATGTACGATGTGTACTCGTGTACTCTTTATGTAATGAGAATTGACCTACTGCTTTCGAAGAATGATAACTGTAGCGAGTATGCACTGGGGGGACCACAATCCCTAAGCTCTACGCGTGACTCAAGTTAGTTACAGCCAATCGGATAGCTTCGGAGATTCAGAACACGTCGGCTTGAGGCAAAGTACGTGCCGAGGCAAGCTTTTCATTTGGGAAGCTGACTGCAACTTCTGTCGCGTTGACGTGGCTGCAGCGAAGTGGCGATCCCAAGGTTCAACCAAGCGAGACCAACCTTTCGAGGTTACCTGAATGTTACATATGCCAAGTTGGGATGGCTTATTTAAAGAAGACGCGCTACCCCTACAAGATCAGGTAGTGTACCAGAGTGCCCCTAGTCCTCAAAATGCTATTGAATACCTTTGATCGGATTCCACTCCACCACTCCACCACTCCACCATTTCACCATTCCACTACATCGGTCTTTTCAATCCTAGTCCGAGGACTCGCAGCATCTAGATTCGCTCCGCGTAATAGAGTTATCCACTCTGGTTGTCCGATCATCCGCTTGCTGTTGAGTACGATTGTAGCCATGGCTGCCGCAATGGCGCACGAGGAGCAGGAGGAGCAGCGCGGGTTCTCGTTCGAGCTGTGCCGCCGAAACGAGTACCTCGGGAAGCAGGGAGTGAAGCTGCCGGGATTCCTCAAGACCGGTACCACCATCGTCGGCGCCGTATTCAAGGTTGTTCGCTAGATCTGGTTACCAGTACGATTCGTTTGCCTCGCAGATCACGCCAAGCAGTTTGTTTTTGTGGTGGAATTCGGCCAAGTTTGATCGGGATTACCGTTGGCTCGTGGTTTGGTTTTCTAGCAGAATCGTTTGGCTCGAATGTAATTCTAGAGCTCGTAGCTTCCTTCAGATAGGTTACAAGGAGAATCTTATCCACAGACATCGCAGGCTTTATCAGGAACGGCTCGATCCATCTGTGGGATCGTTTACCGCCATTCAGTGGATATCATAACGGATCTGGTCCGTCGGATTGCGCGGCTGAAGGATGGGTTGGGTTAGAGGCGAATTGCACGAATTGCACCGTTGACAGGGTATAATTTGGTTAGATTTTGAGACAGATAGGGGATGAGACGGGTTGGTATGAGTCGGATAGGGTATGTTCCGGGTAGGCTATGAGACAAATAGGGAATACGCCACGCGATAGGTTACGGCACGGGTTAGGTTGCGTGGCGGTTAATTGCGATGTAATCTAGAGTTATTTCCCCTTTTTTCTCTCCCGTGTACGGCAGGATGGCGTGGTGCTAGGAGCGGACACGCGGGCCACTAACGGGGCGATTGTAGCGGATAAGAACTGCGAGAAGATCCACTACATGGCGCCCAACATCTACTGCTGCGGCGCTGGTACCGCCGCTGACACCGCGTTCGTCACGGGTGAGAGCCAGCCTTGGTGTGTCTGGGTCTGGTTGTAAGGGAGAGGTTGGCAAAGGGGTGGAGGGGGGTTGAAGGAAAGGGATTGGAGAAGGGGAGGGTAGGACTGGGGGAGGTGGAGAGGGGGGGGAAGGGGGAAGGAGGGGGGCAGTTCGAATGAGTGAGGAGCATGTTCCACGATGGCGCTGGTACCGCAGCTGACACCGCGTTTGTCACTGGTGAGCCTGTCCTGGTGTATCATGCATGTGTGTGGTGGGAGTTGTGTGGGTGGGTGTGGGTGCAGGTGCAGGTGCGGGTGCGGGTGTGGGTGTGGGTGTGGGTACATGTCTGTATATTCAACTCTTTGCCGTATTTTCTCCTCATTCCACTCGCCCCTCTCTTCCCTCCCCCCCCCCCCCCTTCCTCTTCCTCTCCCTCTTTCCCTCCCGCCATCTCTCCCCCCCACTTCCGCCCCCCCCTGCTCCCCTGTTTTTGTCACACATGTTGACTGGGCACCTGGCTCTACACCACCAGAGATTTCTGGCATATTTTTATAACATCCTTCGTTTCGCCCTCTTCTTTCTCCTTCCCCCACCACCACCTCTCCCCTCGTCCCCTACCCCACCCTTCTCCGCTCCCTGGCTGTGGCCCCGTTATTGTCACATCTCGCGTGCAATAGAGATGGTGAGCGGGCAGCTGGCACTGCACCGACAGCGATTCACTAGAATCTCTCCCTGTGCTGCCCCTCCCCCTCCCCCTCCCCCTCCCGCTCCCCGTCCTCCAGAGATGGTGAGCGGGCAGCTGGCACTGCACCGGCAAGCCACAGGCAGGCAGCTGGCTCTGCGCCATTACCAATTCACAGAAATTTATCTGTGGTGCCCTCCCTCCCCCTCAATGCCTTTTAACACCTGCAACAGAGATGGTGAGCGGGCAGCTGGCACTGCACCGGCAGGCCACAGGCAGGCAGTCGAGGGTCGTCAGCGCCCTCACCATCCCCTTTCCCTCTCTTTCTGCACCCCGGCTGCTTCATGTGTGTCACGTCTGCAACCGAGATGGTGAACGGCCAGCTGGCTTTGCACTGTCAGCGATTCACAAGAATCTCCCCTGTGGCCTCCCCTCCCCCTCCCCTCCCCCCCCCTCCTCCCCCTGCCCCTCCCCCTCCCCCTCCCCCTGCCCCTCCCCATCCCCCTCCCCCTCCCCCTCCCTCTCCCCCAGAGATGGTGAGCGGGCAGTTGGCACTGCACCGCCAGGCCACGGGCAGGCAGTCGAGGGTTGTCAGCGCCCTCACCATTCTCAAGCAGCACCTCTTCAAGTGAGTCATCTCTTCTCGTGATTCGCTCTCACCGTTGTCCGCCCTTCTTCTTCCCCCCTTCTTCCCCCTTTCTTCCGCCCTTCTTCCCCCTTTCTTCCGCCCTTCTTCTATGCTTGTTACGCCCTTCGTCCCCCCTTTTCCCCCTCTTCTTCTGCCCTTCTTTCGCCCCTTCTGTCACCTGTACACCCTCCAACCCTTCCCTCTCTCGCCTCCCTCCCACTTCTCTCCCCCCAGTTACCAGGGCCACATCTCACCTGTACACCATCTATCCTTCCTTTCGCCTTCCTCCCCCTTTTTCCTACCCGGCATCTGTTCCGTCTTCCTCTTTCCCCCACCTCCCCTTCCCCCCAGCTACCAGGGGCATATCTCAGCAGCGCTGGTGCTGGGAGGGATGGGCGTCTCAGCCCATCAGCGGTACACCATAGATCCTTCTCCTTCCTCCATACTTCACCCCTTCTTCTCCCCTTCCCCATCCCCCCTCTCCCCTATCTACCCTCCTCCCATCCAACCCCCTCCCCGCTCCCCCCAGCTACCAGGGGCACCTCTCAGCAGCGCCGGTGCTGGGAGGGATGGACGCCACAGGCCCGCAGCTGCTGTGCACCATCTATTCTTCCCTTCTTCCGCCCTTCCTTCCTCCCCTCATTTTCTACCCAATATTTGTTCCCTCTTCCTCTTCACTCCCCGCCTCCCCGCCTCGCCTTCACCCAGCTACCAGGGCACATTTCAGCAGCGCTGGTGCTAGGGGGGGATGGACGTGACGGGCCCTCAGCTGTACACCATCTATCCTTCCCTTCCTCATCCTTTCCGTCCTCCCTTCGTGTGCGCTTCTTCCCTTTTCTTCCGCCCCCGACGCGACCACTGTTCCCTTTCCCACTTCTCTCCCCCCAGCTACCAGGGCCACATCTCAGCAGCGCTCGTGCTGGGAGGCATGGACGTGACAGGCCCTCAGCTGTACACCATCTATCCTTCTCTTTTTCCTCCTTTTCTACCCTACCCCTTTTTCTAACCGACATTACCCCCATCTCCCCTCCCCTCAGCTACCAGGGGCACATCTCAGCAGCGCTGGTGCTAGGGGGGGATGGACGTGACGGGCCCTCAGCTGTACACCATCTATCCTTCCCTTCTTCCTTCCACCCTTTCCTCAACCCCCCTGTGTCCCCCTGCGCCTCTCTCCCCATCCCATCCCTCCCAGCTACCAGGGGCACATCTCAGCAGCACTAGTGTTGGGGGGAATGGACGTCAGCGGCCCGCAGCTGTACACCATCTATCCGCATGGCAGCACGGACCGCCTGCCCTTTGGGTCCATGGGGTCGGGATCGCTGGCTGCCATGGCCATCCTTGAGTCCCAGTACAAGGAGGGCATGACGGTGAGTCGCAGTACAAGGAGGGCATGACGGTGAGCCAGCCTTGTAACGAGGATGGATGGGGAGAGTCTTGTAACGAGGATGAGTGGATGTGTTCAAAAAAAATTATTATTTATTATCAGTTTCTTTTATTATTGTGTGCCATCTATCCTAATGACAGCAGTGCCCTGATTGGCCTACCTGTAAGATTCATGGGTTGCCAGACTAGTACTCGTTCGCCCGGTTTCAGTTTGCCTGTATCCCCGCTATTCTGCTTGTTGGTTTGCTTGTTCGCCTGACATTTGCTTGTACCTCTTTCAATCCCTCCTTCCTCCTCCCCCCTGTCCGCCCCCCTTTCGATCCCTCTCTCCCTCTCCACCTTTTCCGCCCCCCTCCCCCCTGTGGAGAGCAGATGGAGGAGGGGGTAGCACTGGTGTCAGCGGCTATCCGGGCGGGTATCTTCAACGACCTGGGGAGTGGCGTGGCAGCACATTCTTTCTCCCTCCTGTTTCAATCCCTTCGTCCTCCCTGCTCTCTGTCCTCCCCCCTCTCCCCACCCCTCTCCCCCTTGTGGAGAGCAGATGGAGGAGGGGGTAGCGCTCGTGTCAGCGGCCATCCGGGCGGGTATTTTCAACGACCTGGGGAGTGGCAGCAACGTGGATATCAACATTATCACCAAGGTATGAGGAGGATGGAGAGGGAGAAGCAGCAGGTACGCGTACGAGCACGGAATTGGCATGGAATTGGCACAGAGTGCACTGGGTTGACACGGCAGGCACTGGGTTGACACGGCAGGCACTGGGTTGACACGGCAGGCACTGGGTTGACACGGCAGGCACTGGGTTGACACGGCAGGCACTGGGTTGACACGGCAGGCACTGGGCTGACACGGCAGGCACTGGGTTGACACGGCAGGCACTGGGTTGACACGGCAGGCACTGGGTTGACACGGCAGGCACTGGGTTGACACGGCAGGCACTGGGTTGACACGGCAGGCACTGGGTTGACACGGCAGGCACTGGGTTGACACAGCAGGCACTGGGTTGACACGGCAGGCACTGGGTTGACACGGCAGGCACTGGGTTGACACGGCAGGCACTGGGTTGACACGGCAGGCACTGGGTTGACACGGCAGGCACTGGGTTGACACGGCAGGCACTGGGTTGACACGGCAGGCACTGGGTTGACACGGCAGGCACTGGGCTGACACGGCAGGCACTGGGTTGACACGGCAGGCACTGGGTTGACACGGCAGGCACTGGGTTGACACGGTAGGCACTGGGTTGACACGGCAGGCACTGGGTTGACACGGCAGGCACTGGGTTGACACGGCAGGCACTGGGTTGACACGGTAGGCACTGGGTTGGGGCAGGCACGTTGCATCTAAAATTGTTTTGGGCGCCCCTGGAATCATCACGGTAGGTGCACTCGTGTCATCAACCATCCAGGAAAATGCTCCTGAATGGTCCGCCGTTCACCCTGATGTGGTTCTTTTGTGAAGAAAAAAAACAAAAAAAACAAAAAACAAAAAAGATTTCATCTTCCGTGCTTGTTTGTTTTTCAGGATGGGGTGGAGGTTCGCAGGAACTTTGAGAAGCCCACACCACGCACTTACAGGGCTGCGGGCTACAAGTTTCCCCCAGGGACGACAAGTAAGTTGAAGCTTGAAGCACAACAAGTAAGTGAAAGAACCGTGAGTGAGTTGCCTTTGAGTCGACTCAAAAGCCCACAGCACGCACGCACGCACGCATGCACGCACGGGGGCGCGGGCTACAAGTTCTCCCCAGGGACGACAAGTAAGTTGAAGCTTGAAGCACAACAAGACAAGTCAAAGCAGCACGAGTGAGCTGAAGCAGCACGAGTGAGCTGAAGCAGCATGAGTTAGGCACAGGAAAGAAGATCCTGAAATTCTACGTGCTCGCTACACATGTCCCCAGGGCACCACAATTGAGTCGTGTGAAGTTGAATCTGTTGAGAAGTGTTTTAACATGTAGCCATGGGAAAGAAGATAGGGATTGAGACATGTCTCAGCATAGTTTCAGGAGAAAAAAAGATGGATTGGGATGTCTCAAAACATACCGGTAATGTTTTCTCCAGGTATTAATTCTCATTCTGCTCGGATACTGTACTCGTGCATGTCATGTCAAACACATACTTCCTTTTTCCCTATTGCGTCCGTTCACTCCTTTGTCCTGACTTTCGTGCTCACTCTCACACTTTCCCTACCTCTTCCTTGCACTCACACCCGGCCCCCACTGGCTCTTTTCTATACACAAATGCATTTTTTCCTGTCTTTCCAGCACAAACACTCACACTCTGCCTGCTGTCTTTCTCAAACTTGTCTGTTCTACGTGTCTGCAGAGGTTTTGACCACCAGGGTTCAGGATTTTAGAAGGCTGGTGTCAGTCGTGGATGGGGATTCAATGGAAGAGTAATTTTAAGATAATGTTTTTTTCTCCTTTTTTTTTGCACCAGTGTATTGATCCTGGTACAATAAAGCATATGGCAACATGTAAGCTTGCTTCTGCATCTTGTGTAGACATTCTGCTTCATTTCACTGAGGCTGTGTTCCTACGGCCTCTTATCAGGGAAACCTCTTATCAGACTCACGTTGCACCGTTTTGTAACATACATAATTACATTCAATCGCACCGGACATCATTCTGCCGAACAAGTCTGGCAAGAGGTGGTTATGGTCAGGCCCTACGTTACCAGGAATTTTTCCCTGAAATTCCTGATTTACTGGGTTTTTATTTTAACCTACCCTGAATTTTCAGTGTTCAGCTTTTCCCAGGGCTGATTTTTCAGCCTTCACATACCACATGACTCTGAACTTTCAGCATTTTTTTTTTAGTGACACTGATGCCTTTAGGGACAGCAGCGGCAGCGGCAGGGCCAGCAACAGCGCCCGCCATAGCAGCAGCCTCAGCAATGGGGCCCTCCGCAGTAGTGGGGCCCTCAACAGTAGTGGGGCCCTCAGCAGCATTGGAGGTCTGTGGGTCCCCCGAGCACTGGGCGCAGTGGCGCCCCTTCCATTCGGGGATCTCGCTCGGCCGGCCGCAACATTGGTCCCTGTGAGTACTAGATCCTTACGCGTCCTCATCGGGACTCGTACTGTGGCTGCCCCGACCACTTTGTTGCACACTACTTCAGTCGTCTCGACGACCTTTACCACTTGCACCACGGCCCCTCCACTCCCCCGCCGCCACGCTGGGGGACACTTCTTGCTCGTGGTATTGTTGTTTTTGATATGACTATGGATGATGCTAGGTCATATGCCATGTATGCTGATGTTGACTATAGTGCTCCTGGATCTGTGTACTTGCCTGTACCTAGCTTAGGATCTTTGCCTGTTGCTAGAGTAGGTGCTAATGTAGGATCTTGTTTAGCTACTAGTACAAGTACTCCTTCAGCGGACGCCTCTCTCTCCTTCACACTGGACTCCGGAGCGTCAGACTGCTTCTTCCGTGACTGCACGACTCTCTCTCCGCTACTGGCGCCTGTCCCTGTAGCACTGGCCGATCCCTCTTCGGGACCGGTCCTAGCGATTTACGCCACTACATTCCCGTGCCCAGCTGCTCCTTTTGGTTCCCTGACTGGCCTCCACATTCCTTCGTTCTCTAGGAACCTGGTTGGTGTGGGCACCCTGGCGAGACAGCACGTCGGGGTCTGGGTTGAGCCTTCTGGTGATATCGCGGTCTGTGTGGACGGTGACACGTACGCCCCCTTGGCCAATTTTAGCCAGGAGCCGGGCTCCGGTCTGTACACCCTCCGCACCGACTCCCGTCAGGTTCCCCCGTCCCACCAGGTAGTCGGGTCCAGTCCGGTTGCTGTGTCAGGTGTAGTTGCTGCGTCGTGCTCGTGTCGGTCGCTTGCCAACCCCTCCCTTCTCTGGCACCACCACCTTGGTCACCCTTCCCTCCCTTGTCTCTGTGCTATGTCCAGTGAGCGTGTTGTCTTAGGCCTCCCCCGAGTCCTCTCGCCACTCCCGCCGTCCCCAGCTCCTCCGTGCGGTCCTTGTGTCCAGGGTCGGCTGCGCGCCACCCCTCACTCCTCCTCCCTTCGTCCGGCCACCGAGCCCTTCGAGACTCTCTACTTAGACGTCTGGGGCCCCGCTCCCCGTCTTGGCCCTCAGCGGGAGAGTTTCTTTCTCGTGGTCGTTGGCGACTACTCTCGGTACACCACCGTGTTCCCTTTGGTGAAGAAGTCCGACGTGACTTCTACGCTGATCCGGTGGCTCCTCGCCACCGAGGGCACTCGCTCCGACCATGGGGGTGAGTTTCGCTCTGGCATTCTTGCCAGATTCTGTGTTGAGCAAGGCATCACCCAGTCCTGGACTCTTCTAGACTCTCCACAACATAATGGGGTTGCTGAGCGCCGCTTAGGCCTGGTCACGGAGATCGCTCGCACCTCCATGATCCACGCCCGCGCGCCCCATTTTCCTGTGGCCCTACGCGGCTCGGTACGCCGCTCACCAGCTGAACCTCTGGCCTCGCGTCTCTCGGCCAAGGGCTTCACCGACCAGACTTTGGACAGGGTCCCCTGGTGTTGCGTCGAGGTTTAGTGTCCGTGACGTCCGTTTTGACGAGTCTGTCCCTTACTACGTCCGGTACCCCTGTCGAGGTCTCCCGGTTCACCCCCCTCCCCTCTTCCTGGCTCCAGCTCCTCCTCTTCCCGCCCATACTCCCTCGGTACTCCCCCCTAGTCCCGCTCCATCTAGTGTGTCCCACGCTACTCCCCCCCCCCCTCGGTACCCCCCCAGGTCTCTCCTCCTTCCCCACACTCGTCCTCACCGCCTCCGCAACAGCCGTCAGTCCTTCCTTCACCGGCCACTGTGGCCCCTGAGGGTGTTGGTGCTCAAGGTGAGGGCTCTGGCGGTGCTCGCTCTGGGGGTGTTGGCGTTGGAGCTGTTCGTGCACTTGCAGGAGCAACAAGTTCTGGGGGTGTTGGCGTTGGCGCAGAGCGTGCACCTGCCGCAGCTGCTCGTTTTGGGGGTACTGGAGCTGATGGTGGTGCTGGAGCTAGTGGTGTTTCTGGAGCTGGAGAGTCTGGGGCTGGTGCTGGTGCCACTGGAGGCACCACGACTGGGGGTGCGGGTACACCTCCTACAGGTGCTGGTCGTGCTGCCGCGGGAGGTACTCGTTCTGGGGGTGCTCAGCCGGGTACTGTCGAGGACGGAGCCAGTTCTTCTGCTGCGTCCCCTCACACCACTCCTCCTCCTTACCCCTACCTGACTTGTTACCAGGCCATTCTTCGTCTAGAGCGTGAGGAGCAGCAGCGTTTGGAGCGTGAGAGGTTGGAGGTTCAGCAACGGGTGGAGCATGAGAGGTTGGAGTTGCAGCGGGAGCAGCAGCAACCGGAGCAGCCTTCGGCCCCTGTTTCTGGCCTTCGGGCCCTTGGTCTCCCCTCCTCTCCTCTTGTGTTCGGTCCTACGTTTTCTCCTCCGGACTCCGCTCCGGCTGTGTTCCCTCGTTCTCTGTCTCCTCCGTCTCCCTCTCCTCTCGCTCACACTTCGACGTGTCGTCCCCCTCATGCTCGTCCCTCATCACCTGTCACTGACCTCCGTACCGTGTTGTTTCGTCCTAGTCCTCCTCGTCCTCCTCCGTCTATTCTTCCTCGTCCTCCTGAGTCGTCCCTCATTGCCTCCCTGTCCACCCCAGTCACTGACTACTACCACACGTACCGCCCTACTCTCTTTCTTGTGTTCTCGCCTCTCTTGTTTTAGACCCTCGTGCCTCTCCTTCCTCCGTCGTGGTCCTCACTGCCGGTGTCACTGACTTTACTGCTACGCGTCGCCTCGACTGCGCAACACGTGTTGTGGCCGCTCCTCTTGTTTGTTCTCTGTCCGCCGGGGGTGAGTCTGCCTTTGGCTGTGACGTCCTAGAGGACACACGGTTTGAGCTAGAGTTCCTGGCAGCTGCTTCGCCTCATCTCTGTGCCATGCTTCTTGCTCCTGAGGGGGACCCTGACGCTCCTGACATACCTACTCCTCGCACTTACGTTGAGGCAGTGTCAGGGCCTTGGGCCTCTCAGTGGAGAGCTGCCATGGACGCAGAGATGGCCTCCTTTAGGTCCACAGACCCTTACGTTGACGAGGTTCCCCCCCTAGGGGTGAACATAGTTGACGACATGTGGATCTTCAAGGTGAAGCGGCCGCCGGGATCTCCCCCAGTCTTCAAGGTACGCTACGTGGCTAGAGGGTTCAGTCAGCGTGAGGGAGTTGACTTCTTTCAGACCTTCGCGCCCACCCTGAAGATGACCACTCTTCGGGTGTCATTGCACGTAGCAGGGCAGAGAGACTACGAGCTACACTCTCTTGACTTCTACATTGCCTTCCTCCAGGGCAGCCTACACGACATCTGGCTGCGTCGTCCTACGGGCTTCACTGGCACCTTCCTAGCTGGGACCCAGTGGAGCCTCAAACGACCGATCTACGGTCTCCGCCAGGCACCTCGTGAGTGGCACGACATTCTCTACTCTACTCTGTCCGACCTTGGATTTGAGCCGTCTTCCGCCGACCCGTCGCTGTTTGTTCGCTGTGGGCGCACACCTTTCTTCGTTCTCGTCTACGTCGACGACCGGATTTTTGCCACAGCCAACACAGTTGCACTGGCGGAGGTGAAGTCCAAACTGCAGAAGAGACACACCTGCA